CCCCCCCCCTCAGTCCCCAGCGCCGTCTCAACGCTCAGCGATGACCTCCTCAAGTATTACCAGAACGTCACCCGTGCCGTGCTGGGGGACGACCCCCACCTCATGAAGGTGAGTAACCTGGGGGGGGGACAAAATAAATGTGGGGAGGGGGACCCACAAAACCCCCTTCTCCCCCTACAAACCTTTCCCCACCCCATAGGTGGCGCTGCAGGACCTGCAGACCAACCCGAAGATCGCCGCGCTGCTGCCCTATTTTGTCTATGTCGTCAGTGGGGTGAGCTGGGGGGAGGGGGAGAGGGGGGGAAGGATGGGGGGGGCTGTGGGGGGCGTATGGGGGGTTGGGGTCTTGTTGGGGTCTCATTGGGGTCCTTTTGGGTCATTTGGGTCTTGCTGGGATGTTGGGTCCTGTTGAGGTCTTGTTGGGTTCTGTTGGGTCGTTGGGGTCTCGTTGGGGTCCATTGGGTTCCCTTGGGATCATTGGGTTCCATTGGGGTCTCATTGGGGTCTCATTGGGGTTTCATTGGGTCATTGGGTCCCATTGGGGTCCTGCTGGGTCATTGGGGTCTCATAGGGGTCTCATTGGGTTCCATTGAGGTCCTGTTGGGTTTCATTGGGGTCCTGTTGGGTCATTGGGGTGTCATTGGGGTCCTGTTGGGATTCATTGGGGTCCTGTTGGGTTCCTGTTGGGTTTCATTGGGTCATTGGGGTCTCACTGGGGTCTCATTGGGTTCCCTTGGGGTCCTGCTGCGTCCTTGGGGTCCCGCTGGATCCTTTTGGTCCACCGGGGTCCCATGGGGTCCTTGGGGGTCTCATCACCCCCCCAAACCCCCCCATCACCCCCCCAAACCCCCCCATCTCCCCCAGGTGAAGTCGGTGAGCCACGACCTGGAGCAGCTGCGGCGCCTCCTGCAGGTCGCGCGCTGCCTGGTGCTCAACCCCTTCCTGTGCCTGGGTTCCTATGGGCGCAGCCTGGTGGCCTCCGTCCTTTACTGCGCCCTCGAGCCCCTGGCTGCCTCCATCAACCCCAGGAACGACCACTGGACCCTGCGCGACTCCGCCGCCGTCCTGCTGGGCCGCATCTGTCGGTGGGTCGGGGGGCGGGGGG